GGGGTCTCGGGTTCGATTCCCGGGTCGGGCAAAGTATTACTGGTTTTTTTTAAAGAATCTCAATAGTAGCACGGAGTCTTGAATTATACCCGGTATATGGCAATAGGCTCACCCCCTATTACATGGGACTCATAACATAAATAATGAAAAGTGTTTGTTACATTGTACCTACATGTGTACATTGTACATATAGTGGCATTAAGTGCCGTAATGTGGACCTCTGCCTCCTTCGGGGATAAAAGGTGTGGTGTTATGTGTTACAAAAACATATTACATGTAGGTCCGAATAATTTCGAGTTCGAACTAGGCTCTATAAAGATAAACTTCCTACCTTCCTAAATTAGATAATTAGTTGACTGTTTTACTTACCTACCTACAAAGATGTACCTACCTCTATAATAGTAATAACAACTACCTATTTATGTACTTAATTACCTAAGTATTCATCAGGTCACTAAAACAAGTTCAGTTGTTGATATTTTATAATAATACAACAATGGTTGGGTATTAACGGTCGCGAAATGTTTTGTTGGTAAGTCGAGTCGTGACTTTACTTATAGCTTGCTCCTTAAACGCATTGTGGTCATTGACCTGACGGGAGCAAGCTGGAGGCCGTTTAAATTAGATATGGAACTTTTTTCGCATAAACTTGGTGAATGTATGCGGTGGTTTTAACTTTTAACTAGGTTTTTCTAGTTTACACTAGATATTTTTAAAAGACATTAGATAATGCTAGGAAGTACCTAGGCTTAGTAGAGCGTTAACTCTAGGTAGAAGTGCAGGAGTAGGAACGGGGTGGTTTTTAGTCAGTAAGAGTCTGACACTGTCTCTCGCCTCACCAAGGCGGGAGCAATCATTGGATGATTTACCTACACCCGTCAAAATAACATAAATATAGGTATGATGGCGAATCAACCTATTTTTTACTTACAAACTGATTAAATATGTAGTAGGTAAGCCTACCTACATATTCTTACGTAGGTATAAACGTACATACATACATACATAACATCAAGCCTTTTATCCCCGAAGGGTTAGGCAGAGGTGTACATTATGCCACTGTACAATGTAACACCCGCTTTTTACTATTTATGTTATGAGTCCCATGTAATAGGGGGTGAGCCTATTGCCATATACCGGGCACAATTCCAGACTCCGTGCTCCTACTGAGAATTTTAAAAATCCAAGTAATACTTTGCGCTACCCGGGAATCGAACCGGAGACTTTACGAAAATTATGTAGTACCTACACCAGTACACTCAAATGCCTTGTTCGCACTATGCTAGTATTTTAGTTAAGTAGCAAGTAGGTATTATTAGTAACTCTCTCTCGTTTCGATTTAGGGACAGAAGCGAGAGGGATGTTCTAAGCACTCGCTGCTCGACTATAATACTAGTATACTGTGAACAAGGCATTAGTCTAAGTAATAACACTATTGTATCATCATCAAAATCAACGAATATACCTACCTACATAGATAAATACTTCGGTAATACATATAAAACCTAAATAGATACTTTAACTTCGATAAATAAGAAGCGTTACATTACGTACTTAAGAACAGTATCTACACCTACCTATAAGTATGTCTATATATAGGTCTACTTACAACGTCAGCTCAACCTAAACTGATACCATCTAAGTGCCTACTCGAAAGACTAGACCTATTCATTACAAGTATCGACATCTACTACGTCACACGTCCGGCACTTGGTACACCGCACCGGCCTTCGTGATTAATTTTAATAATAAGTAACACCGAAAGGGTATCGGTAGTAGGAACTCGAACTGATCCGGTTTACCTTGTCGCGACATCTTTCACTGCTACAAATATCAACACCGTCGATTATGTTGCGACGAACTGACGGACATTAATGTCCTTGGTGTGATGGCTGAACCTATGTGCAGATGCCATGTCACTTTAGTCATTCTTTAATAGAATTTCAACTCTATAACTTCTTAACAGTAAGGTTGGAAATCTATTGAAGGAAATTGGCAGTTAGGGGTGGCTTGATCTGCTGGTGTACATTTTTCGTATGTTTGCTCTTTATTTTTGTTGATAATGATTTGTGTGGTTTTGTCTGTACTCTTACCATGTTCTACATTTGTATGAAGTTTAGATTTAGCCTAGTTTTATCTAGAATCTAGGTACCCACCTATATTATGCAGGGACTTTTGGGAGTATGCCCATTTTTGTGTTATTCTTGCTTCGAGGTGGGGTCCCGGTGGGATTGGGATCTATACTGGTCCATTCACAATTGGTCTAGACTTGACAATGGAGAAAAACATTACACGTAAAATACCTGATAATTACAGGCGTAATTGATTTGATTGCGTGCGGTTGAGGTAACTGAAAACCTATAAAAAATTCCCGATAAAAATAAAAAAGAAATTCCAATGTAAAATTGTGCACTATAGATTTCATTTGATCAAGCTTATTCAGCAAGGGAACTTATATGTTTTTTATATAAATTTTACTTTTTCAAATTTAAATTGTTACTGGAATGTTTATTAAAAATTCTCTGTAGACTTTTAAATATCTATCATAATTATGAATTTTCTGAAATCAAATATGCTTTTATAAATAACGGTTTTAAAATTTGAGAAGTTTTTTTTTAAAAAAGGAAACCTATCTACTGCTTACATGGAGCAGATTCTAAGTCCTAATATTTTGGTCGCTATTTAACATATTTAGAATAGTGGTTGGCTCAGCAACCCAAAGTGGATCTTGGCCTCCAATACTAGACTTGTCCATTTCTCGTGGTTCTTGGCAGTTTTCCTCCAATTACCTATCAGCTCTAAGCTCCAAAAATATACCGCCTGACGCAGGTCCTCACCGGACATGGAAGTTTCGGGAGGTACCTGTGTCTGATGGGGCGGGAGGAAACGCCCGGGTGTCATCACTGCGAGGACCGCCCTGAGGACACGGTGGAACACACAGTGGGAGAATGCCCTGCGTGGGCTGAGCACCGCCGTGCCCTCAGGGAAGTGATCGGCGATGGCGACCTCTCGCGTCCGGGCCTAGTGCAGGCCATGATGCGGAGCGAGGGGGACTGGGATGCCGTCTCCTCCTTTTGCGAAGCAGTCATGCTAGCTAAGGAGGAGGCGGGACGCGTGAGGCAGCGAAGCGCTGCCTCCTCGCAACCCAGCCATCGCGAAGGACACACCGGGCGTCGGGGATCGCGGGACGATCTCCGGCCACCGTAAGCGCGGGCCTGCGGACGGCGAGCATGGGTGGCTCCCCGTCCGACCAGAAACAGACCCGAGCGTACGGCGCGTCGCGTTCCGCGCGCGCCTCAAAGAGCCATCAGACCACCACAGATGGGGCCCAATAGGGCCGATGCCGATTCGGAGTCGCGGAGAACCTAACGGGTAACCAGGGCTCCGGCTCGACGTGCAGGAGAAGGAACGGGGTGGTTTTTAGTCAGTAAGAGTCTGACACTCCCTTCCGCCTCACCCAGGCGGGAGCAGTCATTCGATGATTTTACCCCCTTAAAAAAAAAAGCTCCAAAATTAAATATCTTGTAATGATACAGTATGTTATTTATGAAAATCGACATCAACGTACCCATATGGATACAAAGTCAGTAGATAGGTAGGTACCTTTGTACTGAACTTGGTACCTACTGAACTCTGTTTAAAGTTGATATTTCGTTATATCACAATTTTTTGCTATTGTGTAAGTAGGTGTAGAGCAGGGCTGTCCAAACTGTAACTGTACCTGTCGCGGGCTAATTAAATTTCTTACAATAGCTGGAGGGCCAGAAAAATGTTTTCAGTTGTGTACCAACGTTAAACATTGTATTCTTTACTCACGAACAAAACTTGTAGACAAATCTTACACTGAATTTTATAATATTGTTGTTGTACATAAGATGAAGATGTTGAGATTAAAACGTGTGTTGCAGGCCGCATGAAAACAAGCCGCTGGCCACAAGCGGCCCGCGGGCCTTCGTTTGGACAGCCCTGGTGTTTTTTAAGGGGGGAAAATCATCGATTTTTTTTAAGGGGGGAAAATCATCGATTTTTTTTAAGGAGGGAAAATCATCTATTGTCTGCTCCCGCCTGGGTGAGGCGGGAGGGAGTCTCACACTCTTACTGACTAAAAACCACCCCGTTCCTTCTCCTGCACGTCGAGCCGGAGCCCCGGTTACCCGTTAGGTTCTCCGCGACACAGCCCTGGTGTAGAGTATTATTATCACGTTTTAACTCTAACCTACGTACAGTCAGCCATATTTGGTTCTTATGATAAGGAAATAAGATCCAAGTCTGTCCTTGATATGTCGACATGATTGTGTTTCGCCAATTTCAATTTACACGAATTTATTTGTCGCGAACAATTCCGGTATGGGCGCAGAAAGAATTACCAGCTTATTATTCAAATCGGAGAATGTGTGACGAATCTGTGGTAACTTCCTGCTAAAAAATTTGGGTAATTCGAGTTCGGACTGCGGTCTAAATAAAGAGTATGGTTAGTTGTCACCAAAACGCATTTATCAAATAAAAGAAAAGATAAAACAATAGTAACAGATGCCCTGCATCTGCAAAAAATCTATGCAAATGAACGTGAAAAATATACATTAATTTTAAGTCCTTGCTGAGCTTGCTAGCGAAATCTAAAAAAAAAAGTAATTTTATGAAATGCTAGCCAAAAACGAAGACATTATCTACTCTAAAGAACACATTACGACAATTAACTACTTATGTACTTTAATCTGACCTTTGTATGTAACGCGAAATAGATCATTCGATACTCGTTGCGATATATTATAGACGAGGACGGAGTAGCTTCGATCCAAGGCTGTACCCGCCCTGTGCTTCTGTAAGCACGGAACAAATGAAATTGAAAGGCTATCTCTGAGTCACAGCCGGCACAGGCGTAGGCTACTTACCTTAGTACTCAGTACTCGGTACTCTGGCTTACCTTGACAATGAAAGTGAATTGGACAATGTAGACGCGATCTATTCGTATAAAAACCGGAGCACCTCCTGTCAAAATTATTCAGTTGCCAACATTTGCAGAATAAACATGTACGCCAAGGTACTACAAGACATTCATTACCTTCACAATTATTTTATCAATAAAACTTGTTAACTGAGATCAGTGGTTCAGACAGTACAACACAGGAAGCGATTTAATTTTAATCAAAAACATTACTCAATAACATTTTAAAGACTTTATCATGAAAGTTCTTGTAAATTAGAATGGAAGTAAAATGTTTTGAGCTTTGCTAAGTTGAATTTTAAGTGTCTAATAAACTAATCTTTTTTTCCAGCTGATCGTCGCTCTTTGCGCCCTGGGTGTGGCCCGCGCCAGCGGTGTCTATGAAGCCGCTCCCCTGGCTTACAGCGCACACGCTTACGCCGCCCCTGCCGTAGTGACCAAGACCATCAGCCCCGCGGTGTCCTCTGTATCTGCCTACTCGACCCACACCGCTCACGGTGGTGAAATCTCGTACGCCGCTGCCCCCGTTGTCGCTAAGGCCTACGCCGCCCCCATCGTCGCCAAGACCTACGCTGCTCCTGCCGTTGCTGCGTACGCTGCACCCGTGGCTGCCTACGCCGCTGCCCCTGCTGCTGTCGTCACCAAGACTATCTCCCCCGCTGTGAGCTCCATCTCCTCTTACTCTACCAGCACCTCTCACGGCTCCCCCGTCGCCACTTACGCCGCTGCCCCAGTTGTGGCTAAGGCCGTCGCCCCCGTTGCCTACGCCGCTCCCGCTGTGGCTGCGTACGCTGCCCCTGCTGTGGTGACCAAGACCATCTCTCCCGCCGTCTCCTCCGTGTCCGCCTACTCCACCCACACCGCTCACGGTTCCGCGTACGCTCCCGCTGCGTACTCCGCCTACGCCGCTCCCGCTGTGGCTGCGTACTCTGCTCCCCTTGTCGCCAAGACCTACGCCGCTCCCTTGGTAGCTAAGACTTACGCTGCTGCCCCCATCGCCACTTATGCCCACGCCGCTCCCGTCCTCAAATCCGTAGCGTACTCCGCTGCCCCCGCCGTCTCCCACATCGAATACAGCGGCCACGGTGCTAACTACGGTTGGTAAACTGAATCAAAACGTTTATGTAAATAGACAAATTAAAATAAACGACTTGCCATAATTTATTTTTTGGTTTGATTAATTACCCTTAAGATAGGATCAAATACAGACAACTTAATTATGTTACCCATGTATACCCAACAACAGTCATATCCAAGTAGGTGTCTACCGAATAGGGAAAATACGTACGAACATTATAAAAATTAAAGGAACAGTCAACAGTAAAGTATAGCTTAAATAAATGTTCCCATTAACATTATAAACCAATGAAATGTGAGAATTATCAATTCGGGCGCAATAATTCGCTTATTCATTGAAACCAGGTAGCACACATAACTATGAATAATACCTTACCTATTAAATTATACAGGACTAAAAAAGCGATTAGTCACTTTACGTAGTTCCTTGAGTCTTTGACCTTTAGACGTTACATTTATAAGAAACGAATACAATGCACAGAAAAATTCTTTTCATAGGCGCAAGTACAATAATTATGTATTATGTCTACATAGGGAAACAGACAACATAGCTTAGGATACATAGGTATATATGCATGTAATGAACACTTCAACATCATCAACATCAACTTAAAAGTGCCACTGTTGAACAAGGACCTCGTCTCACACAGAGAAGGGTGCTCAATGCGGGTTGGCAATTTAAACCTTATAATTAGAAATTATAAGCTTAAGTTTCCTCACGATGTTTTCCTTTACCGTTTGTCAGAGGTGGCTAATTAATATTAGAATGTACAAATAACTCGGAAAGCCACATTGGAAGTTGTTGTTGGTACACTTAAGTATAGGTATATAAAATCATTACCAGGCCCGGGAAAACGATTTGCTCGTCCGGGAAATAAACCCGTAACATGTTATGCAGTAACCAGTCGCCCAGTTACTGCGCCAACCGTGCACATAAAGTAATGCTAATGTTATTATGTCAGACGCATTCGCAACATTTATTTCGCATTCTTTTTTGCAATATTTTTTCTTATTTCTTACCTATTTAGTTAGTCTTGACCATCATTATAAACTACCAGTGACAATTGGACTATAGGCTTGCTCTAGTTTGGCTATCTAGAAGAAATCGCCGCGTGTGATAAGACCGCCCATTGTACTCAAATTACTATTGCAATGTTTACAATATTTTTTATTGTATGTACAATAAAGTATAAATAAATAAATACGAGAAGGCTTATAGTACATTTATTTTTTATATACAGAGTGTTTCGTGCATCGTGTGCCAAATTGAAATGGTCTACAGAAGGGGTCATCTGCTAGCCCCTAAGGCACCTTAACACCCTGTGAATTTTTTAATCGACGTTTTCTTGTCTAAAAAAAATATCCAAATTTTACATTCAACTGTAAATTTAGAGGTTGTAGAACTTGTAGGTTTATTATGGTTTATTATAGTCTTGCGTATGATAGGTTTTTTTTAAGGGAGGAAAATTATCGAATTACTTATCCCGCCCTTGTGAGGTGGTAAAGGTTCATGTTAACGGTATTAACTCACAGGGCTCTGGGATGAATATGGGCGTTCCTCAAGGTTCAATATTGGGTCCCTTTCTCTTTTTAGTCTATATAAATGATTTGCCATTTATATTTAAAAATGAACTAAGAATGGTGCTTTTTGCAGATTTTAAAATAGATCGACGTACAAATAATCTTGACGACGTAAACTGCTCCATTCTTCAAGTGCATAATTGGTTCACCATTAATAATCTAGCACTTAATGAGAAAAAAACAAAATGTATTAAATTCAGTTTACCAAACGTGCGTAGTAACGATTGTGATATTGTTTTGAACGGTCAAAAGTTAGAATTTGTCGACGAGACAGTATTTTTAGGTATTACGTTAGACAATAGGCTACAACGGGGTCCGCATATAAAGGCGCTTTCGGGGAGATTGAGCTCAATTGCTTTTGCAGTTAGACAGATTAGACAGCTCACGGACGTAGATACAGCTAGGCTTGTCTATTTTAGTTATTTCCACAGCATTATGTCGTACGGCATTTCGTTGTGGGGTCGAGCTGCAGAAATATAATCAATATTTATTCTACAAAAGCGGGCTATCCGAGCAATATATAACTTACGCCGTTGCGAATCGCTGAGAGAATTGTTTAAAACGATAAATATTTTAACGGTGCCCTGTCAATATATATATGAAAATATAATGTATGTAAGGAAAAATAGGCAATTGTTTAAAAAAAGAAGCGATAGACACAATTTTAATACTAGAGGCAAAAATAAGTTAGCTATACCGCAATTCAGACTGTCCAAAGTACAGAAATCCTTTATGGGGTTAGGTATTAAATGCTATAATAAAATACCAAATAGCATACTAGATCTCAATGAAAGTAAATTTAAAACATATATTAAGCGCGAATTATGTAATCAAGCCTACTACACACTGACAGATTATCTTGAAGATAAGAATGCTTGGCAGCATGTTGGTTCGGCTCCACTGGACAATACTCAAATGTAGTCAGTAGCTAAATTCCAATAGTAGGTATTTTAATACATAATTTAACACTTTAATTCTAATGTAGACAATCTAGTTTCCTTATGGCATCGAGCATTTCTTTATTGAAACAAAGAGTTTCCTTTTCTTGTATAGAAACACTAATTCTATGGATTGTCAGTATGCATATGTGAGCACCATGTTTGACTTCAAGATTTTTATATATTTTTTTAATTTTAGTAAGTTATTAGTATAATTCGTCAAGCATGTCTTTGCATTGTTCTTACATATGCGTACAGTATTGAAATATGTATCAGAGACATTGTAGAACATACTTTTTTTATAAAGAGTAACGAATGGAGTTTCTTGCTCGTTCTTCTCCATTCGAATCTACTTTTTGGAATGAGCACCTAGCTTCACTGACGGACTGACTGACAGACTATTATTTATTTTGTATTTGTTGACGTTTCAAAAGTACCAAACTATGGTTTAATTGAAATAAATGCTTTGACTTTGAGTTTGACTTTGAGGCGGGAGGGAGTGTCAGACTCTTACTTACCAAAAACCACCCCGTTCCTACTCCTGCATTTCGAGCTGGAGCCCGGGTATCTCGTTAGGTTCCAGGCTCCGTATCGGCATCAGCCCTACTGGGCCCCATCCGTGACGTATGAATAGGTTAGGTCTTGCAATGGTGATAATGACATAATCATAGGGATATAAATAAATGTTTTAAATGTTCTTTTGGTTGGGTTTGTTCGTGGGATCAGTCAGCCTTACCTGTTAATTGACTTGATTAAACCGACAAATGCGTGCTGCCGACATAACAGGTCCTCTCATACTGTTGTGGTTCTTTCCTCAAAAAGCTACTACAGAATGAACTTGCCCGGTTCTCACACATAATCTTTTATACATATTTGTTTGGACTTTAAAAGAGATGGGCCTCTGAGTTTGTTTCGGCATTTCTTCTCACAGTTAGGAAATGTCGGCCTCATCGTATGCTTACTAAAATTGGCGTGTTAAAGTGCTGCCTTGTAGCCTAATTGTAGAAATAAATTCAATTGTTTGTTTCACTTATAAAGAAGCTGGGTCTGTATTGTGTATCAATACCACACACACCACATTTTATATGAACTGAACTGGTCTGTAGTAGCATCGGTGCTTGCTCCCTTGAGGAACAAAATGATATTATTTATTAACATATCCTTGACTTAGCTACATTAACCTTTACGTGTTTTTAAAATTTCTCAATAAAATCAACCTGTGACCGTTACTGTTTAAAAATATGTGAACTTTGTTTTCAAAATGGCCGTGCAATAAAGGGCAGAAATTACTTAAGTGAAGATAAAGAACGAATAATTTAGCAGGAACAGAATGAAGTGAAGGTTTTCTTTTGTGTATGAAATTACAGTATCTACCTACGTCAGAATCAGAACAAAATTTCATTTAATATTGTTAAATGTCCCATCAATTTACTTTCGATGTATTGATTTTTATACTTTATTAGCGACCCGCCCCGGCTTCGCACGGGTGCAATTAGAAACTTCTAAATTTATCAGTATTTCATGTATTATACATATAAACCTTCCTGTAGAATCACTCTATCTACTAACTGCATCAAAATTCGTTGCGTAGTTTTAAAGATCTAAGCATACATAAGGACAGACAGACGGCGAATAGCGACTTTGTTTTATACTATGTAGTGATTTAAGGGCAATACCTTACTTACCATTAATGCGCATATGCTATGTTCGATCAATTGATAATCGATATGAATGTTGTTTGGCGTAGTATCTACGCCTTAAATAAATTGTTGTTTTTATTTTCAATCAGATTATCTTGTTGGTCAAGTATCGCAAACGCGATTGACGAACAAGAAACTTTAGATTCGATTTCCGGATCAGAGTAGGATTTTCAGTTTTAGGAAATCTCTGTAAAAGTTTGAAATTGTCTCCGGTGTATGACGATATTTCCACCCCCTATTACATGGGATATATTACATTACTGATAGATGGATTTTACATTGCATTTTTTTTAGTTAAATAAATTGACTGCACGGTTGGCGCGGTGGCTGGGCAACCGGCTGCCGTGCAACGTGTCGCGGGTTCGATTCCCGCACGGAACAACACTTTGTGTGATCCACAAATTGTTGTTTCGGGTCTGGGTGTCATGTGTATGTGCACTTGTATGTTTGTAAACGCACCTACGACACAGGAGAAAATCCTAGTGTAGGGCGAAGTTTGTCAAAAAACGAAAAAAAAAAAAAATCATTTGCACCTGCTTATCCTTTCAGAGGCTTTACCTACGTACGAGTTTGTTTTACCTACGTTTAAAGTTATCGAAACGACACTGCATTCGGCGGTCTGATTGGTTGGTTCATTGGAGTCGGCCAATCAGAGCGCCGAACGCTTACTCGTTTCGATTACTTTTAACGTAAAAAAACACGTAGGTACTAAGGCCTCAGGGATTAAAAGGCGTCATGTTATGCTTATTTACAATTTTGTAAACTAAGTAGGTAGCAGCATGCAATTTATATTGCAACCGAATAGGTACTTATATGGTAATAATTTGTCCTATTGTAAATATTATAACATCACTCCTTTTATCCCCAAAGGGGTAGGCAAAGGTGCACTTTACGGCACTTAATGCCACTGTACAATGTAACACCCACCTTTCACTATTTGTGTTACGAGTCCCACGTAATAGGAGGGTGAGCCTATTGCCATATACCGGGCATCATATTGTAAAATATGCTGATAAATATCATAGCTGCCGAAATTTAGGTTTACTGTCAATATACAGTCTATTTTGTGCAATAAGAGAGTAACGTTATGTTATCCATATTTATAGACATTTAGTTAAACTAATTTCCTAATTATTAAGTCAAAGACGTCAGAATATAAAACGGTTCTAACTTACGTAAACTGCCGACCTCTAATTTATATACACAGCTTATGTAATACTTCATGTATATATAATACCCATAACATTATGAGTGCATCTGTTTTACATTATTTTATGGGATAATGTAACAAAATATTTGTGTTTTGAGCTCATGTTTAGCATTACAAAAATACTGTCTTCATTATTATCTTTTAGTTTTAATAATCTCTCTGGGTCATAGTCATCAGCGTATTGAATAAGATCAATATAACGTCGATGCCTATAGTACCTTCAGAAGTCTCATGTGTTATGAGTGTGTTTAGGTTCAAAAAATAAAATAATAGACCAAAATTTGTGGAAAACAAATTGTAGTCAACACAAGACGCAAAGGTCGATACACCATTTGCTATGTCATCCTGGTGGTTATTACCATAAGAATTGTAAGGATAAACCGGGCCAATCTACATAAATGCACTATTTATGAAAACGCCATTAAAAGCACACGATATATTGACATTTAAGTATATAATTTAAAAAATCCATTATTATCTTTGCAGACAACACATTAAAACCGGAACATCAAGTTTGGCAGTGGCTTTCTGACCCATACCTATTAGACCGAGACGCGCTAATCTATTTATATGTTTGCTATTATTATGCTATTAGGTAATCAAAATATTATGCTACCAGAAAATCAAATCAAAGACAGAATAAAGTTCAATAAATACACAATCACTTAACCTATGTGACAAACAAATGCTTTTCCCCTGAAGATACATGTATAATAATATAATGTATATAGGTTATGGGCAAAGATTGAAGCCTAAATCTCTACATTTAAAAAACTGGTATAAAAATATCCAATAATCAATCTTTCTTGAACAGGGAATCTAATCGAAAAGAACTATGATCGCTGCTCGATAGTAACAAAACTGACCTACTCAACTTACGAAGTATGTAGTTCTATTATAACTATAGTGTCGGATGCTACGGTACAATGCCCCTCTAAAATTATTCCTCTCTATTCCTGTTGTTTACTTCGTAGATTGATCTGTTTTTAATAAACATTCTAATTATGTTTACTGTTTAGTAAATCCTTATTTGGATTAAGGCGGGTGTACCCAAATTGGATTCGCGGAAACGGTACCAACAGATCTTTTACCTAATCTGTTGTTGAGAAAATGAAATTATATATTTGTAATTGCAAATAAGCTTCAAAATAAATATTGGGACAATATGAATTTCTTTAGAGAAGTGTCATAATTATCCACTTCCTACATCTTTAAGTCTCAAGGAGGATACATTGATTTATGTAGTTTATGATTATAATGTAGTAAAATATTTCTGATGGGATACGGAAGTTGATTTAGAAAACCTCCATCGAGACACCGACGTCAACAAACTTAAATATGCAATGACAAAACTCCTTAATGCAACGCTTTAAAGGTCATTTTCTCAATGACCAACTTATAAAATTTGAATTGCATAAAGAATCTCCTAGGATTAGATACCAGTTTTACTAAGATGGTATAAAAGTGAATGCACGTGATCTCGATGTTATTTTGTCATCAAAACTATCTGAACAAACATGTATAGAGAGGTGATAGTTTACTTTATTTATTAAAATTTTATAAATCTGTTATTTGTTACGTAAAACTAATTCAGTTGTGTGTTTTCTAGTTCGTGATACTTCTGTATGCCGGGTTCGTGTGTGGTATCAGTTTGAATCCTGGATCTCAAAATGGACCGGCATCTCCATCCCCTGCTGCTGACACTTCTCCACAGCAGGACAATCTCGCTGTACCTTCTGAATCTTCCTACAGTACAGTTACACCACCGTCTGTCAAGTATTTACCTACACCATCTCTAGCCTACGAATTGAAACCGGCCGTTGTGGATACTATTGTCGAGAAATTCCCGAACAGAAACGTTCCCGTGCAATCTTATGGAGCGCCTGGAGGACAGCAAAAACCTGCTACATTTTCAGCCACTGTGGCTTCGGATCCTTCTTCGCCCGAGTACAGCAATGTTCTTGAAAGGTATGCGCCCTCTGTACCTCCCATACAGCCATATTTCGCAGTTCCTGTTTCGGCTAAAACTGTAACAGTTGGTTCTGATCAAGGTAATGGCCAACCACAAGGTAACGCACAAGCTGGATACGGCCAAAATTCCAGACCTGTTCTAGTATACAGTCACCATGGCCAAGCCCAAGGTCAAGTTCAAGCTGGATATGGCCAGAATGTCAGACCTGTATTTGTATACCAACAAGCTGGCCAAGCTCAAGGCAACGCGCAAGTTGGATACGGCCAAAATGTCAGACCTGCACTGGCATACAATAATGCTGGCCAAGCTCAAGGACAAGAGCAAGCTGGATATGCCCAGAATGCCAGGCCTGCATTGGTATACTTTAACGCTGGTCAAGCCCAAGGTCAACAGCAATCTGGATATGGCCAGAATGCCAGGCCTGCACAAAACGCTGGCCAAGCCCAAGGTCAATCGCAATCTGGATATGGCCAGAATGCCAGGCCTGCACAAAACGCTGGTCAAGCCCAAGGTCAGGCACAATCTGGATATGGCCAGAATGCCCGGCCTGTAGTATTGTACAATAATGCTGCCCAACAAAGACCACAACAATTAGTTCCCTATACTGTGAACAAAGCGACACTGGAGTCTTACGGATCAGTCAATGTTCACCCTCCTTCTCCTCAACGTAATGATCAAGTTGCTCAAGCAGCTTACGGTTCCAACTCTAATTCTGGTGCCGAAAGGCAATATCAATTAGTTCCTTATTCTGTGAATAATGCGAATGTCCAGTCGCAATCTCCTGCTGTTTCTACGTACCAAGTGAATCGTGGGCAGGCTGTCAATTCTCCTCAAGTGCAGTACATTCCTCAACCAAGGATTACTTACGCTGTTAATCCCGTTATTCCTGTGCCAGTCGTGCCTACTGTTGCTGTACCAGTTGTTCCAATTGCACCAAAGAAAGTTATTGAAGCGTACAGTACTGTTACCGCTCATGGTGCGCCAGCTCCTAAGTACGCTCCTGCTCCCATACCAGTTCCAGTGATCTTCCAACAAGTGGAGCAGTACCAGCCGAGTGCTCAGCCTCTCGCTGTTTTGGCTAAAGCGCCCTCTGCTACATTACTGCAAGTACCAGTTAGTGGTCAACCTATTCCCTTGTCAGCTATTCCTTCTGGTCCGGGGGTGCGTTACCACCCTGTATCTGTTTCTGGTGGACAAGAAGGCGGTTATGCCAAAGCTATAGTATTTTCTCCCGCATCAGAAGTTTCCCGTGTTACCTTCAACGGTTTGGGAGTCTCCTATGGTTGGTAGAATACTTCTAGTATAAAAATAACGTTAGAATAATAATTTATTGTGATATAACGTTTTGTAAATAAATGCAGGTTATGTAAATGGGTGTTTTATTTTGTTCTAATGCATTTGTGCTAGTGATGTAGCGATTTCGCAATATTCGATATTTACTGTGATCTACATTGAGTTTCCGTGCTTAGATAATGTAGTTAATATGCGATTTGTTTTATTTTATTAATGTGTAGTCTAATACTAAATGCAAATTTTATTCGTGAAATCATCTCAAATACTTACTTAAAAAAAAACACATATTTTGTATGATTACGGTAATTTCGATATCAAGTTGTGAATTCCAAACGTCATTAGCATAGTGATTTGATTTTATTGGATTTTAACACAGTTTTTGTATTCAGCTATTTAGACTTCTGATTTTATAGTCGTTGTTAATTATAATTAATCCATGACAAGTGAATAATTTACACAATTTCTTAAATAAATAAAGAAATTATGAAACGTAGAACATTTTGAATGAAGTTTTTAAAGCTTCCGTAAATTTAAAATAATTACATAATGTGATGTCATTTAGACCGGTTTCATATTATGCCTAACTAGGTCTATAGCCTTGTTTGTGTGCAAAAATAAATAAACTCAAGATCATTCCTTTTTACCAAAATATTTTAATTTAATTAAATGCGTTTTCATTGACTGGGTGTTATAAAAATATCATACTTATTATAATTACTTTGACTTGACTGCACGGTTGGCGCGGTGGCTGGGCAACTGGCTGCCGCGCAACGTGTCGTGGGTTCGATTCCCGCACGGAACAATTCTTTGTGTGAATCACAGATTGTTGTTCCGGGTCTGGGTGTCATGTGTATGTGAACTTGTATGTTTGTAAACGTACCCACGACACAGGAGAAAAACCTAGTGCGGGGCAACGTTTTAAATAAAATGGAATTTGTCAAGGAATGTGGTTTTGTTAACGAGTTGGTTTATTAGTCGGAAATATGACCGCGGGATTTCAGGTTCGATGAATGAGTGGTACCTGACATTAGGAATAGATATTCAGATTTCAAAATTCTGTGTGGCATAGAGTCAAGAATTGTGACCGATTTATTTCTGTCGTATGGTGGTTGTAGTTCGGTGGATATCGTAAGTGTTATCTAACTATTAATAGACTACACATTTGTCAGAAACCAGAAAGCAGTACTTACTCTTTGACAAACCAAACCATGTAAAACTTGAATTTCCGAGTGCTGAGCGAGGAAATTACGGCATAACCATGTTATGTCAAACAGGCCAATGGTTTAACAATGAACTATCACCGTCTCTTGACTCCTTTTTATGGGGTAAGCCGGTAAACGGGTAGACGGATCACCTGATGGTAAGCAATCAGCGTCGTCCATGGACACCCAGAACACCAGAGGCGTAATAAGTGCGTTGCCGGTCTTTTGGGGATTAGGAATTTGAAAATTGTTGTAATTGGACCGGTAATCTCACCCACACCATGAAACACAACGCGAGCGTTATAATTATCACGTCGGTTTTCTGTGATGCCATGTTATCACTCCGGTCGTGCCAGCCCATTCTCTCGCCTCATGACTCGCCCACACTTACTGACTCCCGTTGTATGTGGTGCTGATAGTGAAGTAAAAAAACAATATCGTTATGTCTAAGAGATCATCTTCATGGTAATTTTAGATGATATCAATAAACGGTGAGCGCATACGACAGAAAACGCATTACCCTCGTTTCGTTGCACAGTCGGCTAGACTATCTTCCTGCTTTCGTCATCGTTTGTATTGTTTTTAATGTTTTTATTATTCACATATTTTAGTAGATCATTAAACAAAGAACTGCCCTTGACGGTCTAGTGGCTACAAGTTCAAATACGAAACATTAATTAGATAGATCCTGAATTCTATTCCTAGACAGCCAAAATATTTTTTTTTTTTTCATTAATTCACGTTGGCGTTGGCATCTTTCTACATAATGAGGTATTACCATGAAGTCTAAGTCAATACATAGTATTTTAGGCCTGAGCATCAAACGTGAGATTTCGTTTTCAAAAGTCGCATTTGTGGCCACTCGATCATTAAGATAGGTAAGTATTACATAAAGAAAATTATGTATATATGTAAATACATGTAATAAGATATATTTGATACAGTCTTTGAAATCGTTAGTTCACAATTTATTTAATTTTAATGACTCACTAACTCGAAATGTTTTAATTATGATAATTTTGTGTCATACGTAATTATGTGTTTAGTCTTACTATTTATAATGTGCTTACATTTTATGTAATCTTATGTTAGACTCCCGAGCCAGATTATAAAGTTTGTTTTTCACAATTGACTGCCTCGTTGGCCGAGTGGTCGCAAGTGTGACTGCCGGGCAAGGGGTCTCGGGTTCGATTCCCGGGTCGGGCAAAGCACTACTGCACTACTGGGTTTTTTAAATAAATCTCAGTAGTAGCACGGAGTCTGGAAATGTGCCCAGTATATGGCAATAGGCTCACCCCCTATTACATGGGACTCATAACATAAATAGTGAAAAGTGGGTGTTACATTGTACAGTGGCATAATGTGCACCTCTGCCTACCCCTTCGGGGATAAAAGGCGTGATGTTATGTATGTATGTTTTTCATAATTACGACTTTGTACAATAGTGCAAAGGAGAATAGTAAATAATGTTTTCCGACCCGAAAATTCAATCTATTCTCCTTAAACACAATGCCTGTATTTGCCGATTTTCAATTTAACTCTAAGGTTGACTGGGATATAATGCCATATAGTATTAATGTCCATCTTATGAACCATTCCTTATTTTTGTGTGTATTAAAAAATAAATAAATCTTTTACTTGACACTCACTCTTTGGCATAGCCTATCAACGACATAGTGCAACAGTAAAATATTTTTGCGAACGAATTAAAGTTTAATTAATGCGCATTACACATTGCCGAGTAGTCTGAATAAAAATAGCTTCAGGCAAGAACGGAGATTCAATGCTAATACCAGTTCACTGATACGCATATAAAAGCGAGAGCAATTGCTCCAAAAAGTACACACGACAACCACATCCATTACAAACATGTACTCCAAGGTACTGTAGCGATAATTATTCGTATTAATATTTTTATTCATAATTCATTCATTTAGTGTTACATAACTGGTGAAATTACTTATTACTTAGGTTTATGTTCGCACCCTTGTGTGAAATATAGGAAAAGGGAGTGTTTTTTTATGTTAATTTTATTTATGATTTAGTTCTTAGTATACTAGTTTTTTATTTGATGAAACATTATAAATATTAGAACAAGGTTTATTTTTTGTGTTCACTAACTTTTTTGCGTTTCTGTTCTAGGTCGTAGTCTTCCTGTGCGCGGCGAGCCTCGCCTCCGCTGGCCAACTCTTCGAGGCTGCAGCTCCTGTGGCATACAGCTCAGCGCCCGCCGTCTCCTCCGTATCATTCTCCTCTCACACCTCGCACGCTCCTGTCGCCACATACGCCGCCGCTCCTGTAGTCGCTAAGGCTTACGCTGCCCCGGCCTACGCCACTTACGCCGCAGCTCCCGTCGTAGCTAAGAGCTACGCCGCTCCCGCCTACGCTACCTACGCAGCTGCCCCCGTCGTAACTAAGAGCTACGCTCCATCAGTGTCTTACCAATCCATCTCAACTCACTCTTCTGACGTCGCGTACGCCAAGACCTACGCTGCACCCGCGGTCACCACCTATGCTGCTGCTCCCATCGTAGCCAAGAGCTATGCTGCTCCTGCTGTCGCGACCTACTCTGCTCCAGTGTACGCCAAGTCAATCTCTCCAGCTGTTTCTTACTCCTCATACTCCAGCCACTCTGCTCCGCTCGCCTACGCCGCGGCTGCTCCCATCGTCACCAAGACTTACGCTGCTCCTGCTTACTCCACATACGCCGCTGCTCCCATCGTGGCCAAGGCTGTTGCCCCAGCGGTATCATACTCTTCCTACTCGTCTCACTCCGCACCTGTGGCCTACGCCGCCGCTCCCATCGTAGCTAAGTCTTACGCCGCCCCCGCTGTCGCCACTTACGCTGCTGCTCCCGTCCTCAAGTCTGCTGTGACGTACTCTGCCGCCCCAGCTGTCGCTCACGTGTCGTACTCTAGTCTTGGATCCAACTACGGTTGGTAAATACTTGGTTATTAATTTATTTATAGTAAATAATGTAAATAATCATATTATGTAAATAAGAATGTGTATTCGAAAAGAGAACGAAATAAAAACAAATATTTCATACCTCCATGTGTTTCCACATTTATGTTTCTGAAATCCCTCATTTATTATGTCTTGTTGTTTTTGTGAGGGGTGGTTAAATAATTGCATGCAGAGGTAGGCAGGAAAAGCATACAATCTACTTTTTGCTCGTTTAATTTGTTAATTAAAGGTAGAGGTAAATTTCTCTTAACTAAAGTAGAATGCAATCAGTTTACCTCTACAATCTTCAAACAATCTCTGTTCCTCTAGTATAAACAGGAATTTAATCCAATACTCTCTGAATTTAATACTCTCTGTGATATATCATTATCGAGACAAATCAAAGCTCTAGTGGAACCCCTGAGTAGGTTAATCCCTAATTGATTCAAAGCCCTAAGTGATGCACTTGCATTACCTATACGCTATACACCGCCTCGCCCTAATCAGTTCATAAGCTATGAGATTCTGTAGTACGACTTAAACAAATATGATTTAATACATGGCATGTGCTTATGCATGTCAATATTGGTCGTCTTTAAGGTACTTATACATTTTTCGCAATTAGGTTAAAATCAATCAATAATTGACTTCCTTAATGATCAAGTCATCTCAAGAAGATTGCGATCGGTATGAAACCTTTTTTTTAAACGACCCAAGTATTTTCTCTTGTATCGTGGGAGCGCTTATAAACATACAATGAACAGACGTGACATCTAGATCCGAAATAAAAATTTCTGGATCACACAAGGAGTTTTTCCGTGCGGTACTCAGTACACTTTTTTATGACAGCAATAAAAATTAATATTATGAACTTAATTGATTTGTGATACGTTTAATAAAGTATAGCCTATAAGGTAGAATAGAGAGATCGGTATAACTTAAATAATATACTACCTTAGTTATATATTGCACTTTTGTTAAACGAAGAAATTGATACGAGTTCTGCACAAATCAGAATTAAACTTCCAGTAAAATGCCTATGCACAAGTCATTAGTCATTTCAGATTTAATACCTATTTAAATAGAATAACATATAATAAAGGCAAAAATTTTGTATCGATTCACACCAAGAGCCGAACGAGCCGAACGAGTCGCGCGGAAGCTGGTTCGGGTAATTTGTATTGTACATCATAACATAACATCACGCCTTTTACCTAGAAGGGGTAGGCAGAGGTGCACATTATACCACTGTTCAATGTAACACTCACTTTTCAGTTTTTATGTTATAAGTCCCATGTAATACCGGGCACAGTTCCAGACTCCGTGCTACTACAGAGAATTAAAAAAAAACCATTAATACTTTGCTCGACTCGGGAATCGAACCGGCAGTCGCAATTGCGACCACTCGGCCAACGAGGCTGTCAGCAATCAGTATTGTATGTGTTAGGTATTATATGAAAATAAAGTTAAAATTCATATGACACTGAAACTGCGCTCCGCTTCACTGCATTTTGACGTTTTTTGGTGTGAGTTGAGCCTTACAGTCATATCTGTCTGAATAGTTAACCAGCGGTATTTTCAGATCAAGTGAAAATGTACAATATATAAACGTACCAGAGACGTTGCATCAACTACTTGCAGTTTATGAAGTCCAGAAAAGGAGATTATAAAGGAAACCACTTGATATCATTATTACAGAAAATTATTATCCTCCAAAAAACATTTAGAACAAATAAGACAAATTAATATTACATATCCTCTCGACAATTGTGCCGCCAACAGAATGACGCCATCCGTTCAAAATCCTCCTCCCGGTTTTTCCGCCTTTTTCGACCGCCTTCTCGAAATCGTCAAATGACGTTTCGAGAATTCAAGCCCGTTCTATTTTTTTAAAACTCGTGTTCTCGATGTCTTCAGTTGACATTTCGAGAATCCAAGTCCGTTTCATTTTTGTATGTTTGTTTATGGCCAATCATCCATATCAAATCAATGATACAAGATCTAAATAAAGAAAGTGAGAATGTGGGCCTATCTATGAATATAAGCAAAACAAAGCTACTTACGAATTCAAACAAAAACGAAATAAAAATTAACAACCAACCTGTTGAGTATGTAGACGAATATATATATTTAGGACAAATCATTTCACATATAGACATAACTACGAAAGAAATCAATAGAAGAACAACTAACGGATGGAAAAGATATTGGTCACTGAAAGAAATCATGAAATCCACAGACCTTAGTATTGGTATCAAAAGGAGAGTGTTCAATACCTGCGTTCTCCCATGTATTACTTATGGGTGTGAAACCTGGGCTCTTACGAAACATCATAGGAACATGCTGCAAAATTGCCAAAGATCTATGGAACGAAGTATGATAGGTATTAAGAAACAAGAAAGGGTACGAAACACCGTCATAAGAAGTAAGACAAAAGTCACAGACATACTTACTAGAATAGATAGTCAGAAATGGAGATGGACCGGGCACATGCTGCGCTGCACCCAAGAGAAGTGGAGCAACATCATAACAGACTGGTACCCTAGAGATGGGAAAAGAAACAGAGGTAGACAAAGCAAGAGATGGGAAGATGAACTGAAATTGACGGCAGGCCCAAAATGGAGAAGGGTTGCTAGAGATAGAGTTCAATGGAGAATGTTAGAGGAGGCCTTTGCCAAAAGGCACACTGAACTAAGAGACATGCTATAACTAAAGACAACTAAAGACAACTACAAAAAAAAAAAAAAAAGCAGTTCAGGATAAGAGGCTTATTATTATTATATTATGGTCAATCACAAAGAAGTTCTATTACACAATAAAAGTACAGATTAAATAATTAGATTAAACCATAATATTAATGAACCCTAACAAATATAAGTTAAAGTTTCATAGCAGTTTGTTTACTAAAACTAACAGTGAAATCTCTCAATATTTTTATTGTACATGGTACATACTGATTAAATTATTTAAAAGCTATAAATCTACAGATAACACAAATGAACTAGTCTTCAGATGTACTATATGTAGGCTATGGGCCATTAATATTAGAAATAAATACAAAATAAATAATCGACTTGGCCTTTTTAAAGACATTTTCATAAACGTAAAAACAAAATATATACAAGTGAAACAAGTGAAACAAGTGAATTTATTTCTACAAATAGGCTATAAGGCAGCACTTTTACACTTCAATTTTATCAAGCGAACGATGAGGTCGACATACGTATAAGTGACATACGTTTAAAATAAATTCAAACCAAAACTAAAACTTCCTTTACAGCCAGTGCTCACATTACTACCGAATAGGTATATTATCTAACATCATAGTCAACCTTAATGAAGAAGTAAATTTTATTTTGATTTGTCTTTTTTTTGTGGCACAAGCCGGTAAACGAGCAGACGGATCACCTGATGATAAGCAATCGGCGTCGCCCATTGACACCTGGAACACCAGAGGCGTTACTTTTGGGGATTAGGAGTTTAAGGATCGTTGGGGATTCAGGAATTGAGGAGATTGGGAAAGGGGAAATTAGGCTTCCGGTAACCTCACTCACACAACGAAATACAACGCAAGCGTTGCTTCACGTCGGTTTTCTGTGAGGCCGTGGTATCACTCCGGTCAAGCCGGCCCATTCGTGCCGAAGCATGGCTCTCCCACACTTAATGCTGCCTTGTAAGCCTATTTGCAGAACTAAATTCACTTGTTTTAATTGTTTATTAATGTCCCAAGAGGCCCAATGACGCTCCTCTTTCCCAATCTCCCCAATTCCCGAATCCCCAACGATCCTCAAACTCCCTAATCCCCAAAAGGCCGGTAACGCACTTGTAACGCCACTGGTGTTCCAGTTGTCCATGGGCGACGCCGATTGCTTACCATCAGGTGATCCGTCTGCTCGTTTACAGGCTTATACCATAAAAAAAACTTTTAAACGTCAATTTTTTAAGTGAACTATGAGGTCGACGGTAGTAAAAAGATTAAAAAATTACTAAGTATACAAACGAAAGTGGTAAGTTTTAATGTACACTGTGACGTCGGCAATAATGATGAACGAGTTTTAATTTTCGTCGCATGGTTGCATGCAAGATGTCTTAGGACCGGCTGACCGGCATAGTTTACAGGAATCAAGGTTTTTTAGTTATATTTTAAATTCACAATAATAGGACTGGATCAAAAATTGCCCTGTGTAGCGAGAAGAAAATTCTTTACTTATTTTTCAGAGTTTAAATCTTACTCAACTAATATGATAATTGCTCATACGTAAACTTGCTGACATTATAAGGCATTGACCGTTTAATATTTAAGGAATTGTAGTCCAATGTCCCCTGAAGTTTCAATGATTAACACTCACAATTATTCATATAAAAACGAGAGTAAATGCTTCAATAATTACACTCGACGACAACACTCAACACCAACATGTACTCCAAGGTACTGTTTTTAATAGTTTTTTAATTTTTTTTTGTGATTTTCCTTGATTGTGGCTATAGTGAATTGGATAGTTGACAGTGTAAGAAAATTAAAAATCTAATTATTCCGTCAGATAATGAAAAAATATTAGACACGTATTTTTTTATTTTGTTGTATAATAAAATGATACTTAGATAAAACGAATCAAAGTTCAGGAGTGGGGGCTAAAACGTCATTTCTACGTATAAAATGTATGTACATAGAAGGGACGTCATGCGACATTTCAAATCAATATATCGTTAAAAGTATTCGTTTCTGTAAGAAAATAAAAAATACGTGTGTAATGTTTTAAAATAATCTACCTAATTTTCTAATTTTTATTTTAATGCCCGTCTGGCATTAAAATAAAAATTAGGCATTTACCCTATTATGGTAAAAAAAAATTGTGAGCTCAATATGTTTTAGGTTCAAGAATATAGGGCACTATAATAAATGTCTTACTAAGCGCTGAATTTAAAAATAATTGAAATGTAAGATGTATTTCTTAATATCTGTTCATACTATGAAATAAAAGCAACAGATAAACAACGATAACGTACGATTTTGCTGATTTACTACGCAAGGCGCCTAAAATAAATATTTAAATTAAATAAAACAAGATATCAAAATTAACTTCAATTTTCTGTTAACAGGTCGCTGTATTCTTGTGCGTGGTGAGCCTTGCCTCAGCTGGGCAACTGCTGGAAGCAGTTGAGCCAGCATACAGTTCAGCTCCTGCAGTGTCTTCCGTATCATTCACATCTCACACGTCTCACTCTCCTTCCTACGCGAGTTATGAAAGCGCACCTATTGTAAAGTCCTATGAAAGTCCAGCTTATGAATACTCTGCTCCCATTGTAGCCAAGAGCTACGTGGCTCCTGCAGTTTCCTACTCCGCTCCAGTGTACGCCAAGTCTATCTCTCCGGCTGTCTCTTACTCTTCATATTCAAGTCACTCTGCTCCTCTGGCCTACGCTGCGGCCGCACCCGTCATCGCCAAGTCTTACGCCACTCCCATCATTGCCAAGTCCTACGCTGCTCCCGTCATCGCCAAGACCTACGCAGCTCCTGCTTACACCACATACGCCGCTGCTCCCGTTTTGGCTAAGACCATCGTCCCAGCAGTATCTTACGCAAGCCATTCAGCGCCTATCGCCTACGCTGCAAGTCCCGTCATTGCGAAGTCCTATGCTGTTCCTGAACTGGCCACATATTCCGCTGCTCCCGTATTAAAATCTGCAGTGACCTATGGTGCCAACTATGGCTGGTGATTTGTTATTACCTATGTACTTTAAGTTTTTAATATTAAAATGTTTCAAACAAAGTGATCATATAAATAAATGGTGTTGAAACTTAACTTGATCTTTTAATAATTATTGTATTTATGTTTGACTATAATATGTTCCTGTAATTATTGAATGAGTGTGAAGTTATTATTTCATACATTTATGTATGAAATAATAATGTTTTGTAATGATTACTTTAGTAATCATTACAAAACAAATAAAAAATTTGAAGAATGAAAACTGTTACGTTATTGTAATGTGTTAAATTCCTTTATTGGCTGCCGAGTTTGCAACCACTAAACCAACGAGGCAGATGATCGTTAAATTATATTATTTAAACTGAACGAATAAGTTAATACTTAGGATATAAGGCAATGACTAGTTAGTGTTTCAGAAAAATAAAACATTAAAAATATTTTTATACACATTTTATTTAGAGCATCGTATTAAGTGAAGTACATAGACATTTTTAGGAATAAATATGAAAAATCAAGTGGTTTCATTTACCAACCGTAGTTGGCTCCGAAACCAGTGTAAGCCACGTGGGAAACAGCGGGAGCTGCAGAGTAAGTCACTGCAGCGGGAGCAGCGAAGGTCTTGGAGACAACAGGAGCAGTGTAGGCGGCAACAGAAGGAGCAGTGTAGGCGGCAACAGCAGGAGCAGTGTAGGCAACGGCAGGGGCTGCAGCAGCATAAGTCCTGGCAACGAATCGAGCGGGTTCAGCTGCAGCGAAAGTCCTCGCTACGAATGGGGCTGAGTATGCACGATAAGCGGGCGCAGCAGCAGTGAAAGTCCTCGTCGCTACAGGAGCAGTGTAATAGCTTTCAACTGGAGTAGCAGCGGCGGCATAAGTTGTGTATGGTGCAGCTGCAGCATAAGTTGCCGCCGGTGCAGCCGCGGCATAAGTCACAGGAGATGATTGTCTGGTGAAAGAGGAGTAGGAGACTGCTGGAGCTACAGCTTTGCTGAACACTGGAGCAGTATAGGCTGCTACAGCTGGAGCGGCCTCGTACGCAGCATACGCAGGTGCGGCGTAGGCTGCAACAGGTGCAGCCGAAGAGAAGGAGACGGTGGATACTGCGGGTGCGCTGTACGCAGCTGGAGCTTCTGCAATACCGGCGGAGGCGATACTCGCCGCGCATAAGAAGACTAGAACCTGGAAAAGGATGAAATAATATTTTCAATAAAGGATTAAGTTTATTTATAAAAATACCATAACGATTAAGTTGAACAATTATAGGTACGACCCTTCTTCGTAATCTTTCTAATGGTTGGTGATGTAAAATATGTAAAAGTGGCCTGACACCTTATTTCTATCCGAAAAGAAAGTGTATCAATCTTCTCTGTCAATTGATCCAACAAAGATTTACAATTACCAAGCAATTGTGCAGGGCAGATGTCAGTGACGTAACAAAGGCAGTTAGGAAGACCAGAAGAAAGAAAGTTTACAATTTCTTTCATTAAGGCAATATTATGTTAAATAATATATGAAAAATGATATAAAAAGTCACCCGTACCTTGGTGTACATGTTTGAATTAGACGTGGTTGTGCGATGCAATACTTTTTGGAGCACTTGCATGCTCTTTTATATCAAACGTTTGCAAACTGGTTCATTGAATCCCAGTTTAAAGTAGTACTAACAGATTATAGTTCAATTTGTATAAGAGAGTAATATCGGTCAAGTGCGAGTGGTATACACGTGCCCAAGTGGAACGGAAAATGTTGTTCACATTTCCAACTAGAGTTGTGGGTTCAAGGCATATGAAGTAAGTATGTGGGAGATCGTTAAATTAAATGAAATTATGTGTTCATGTACATAAGTTTGCTGATAAGCTTAAATGATATTGGTGTTGCTAAGTTAGCTGGAGAACTTATGAATATTGTGCAAGTCTTTTAATACCGACTTGTATGAGATTATCTTATTCACATACGATACATCGATGATAATAAAGTTTTCTTCAGTTACATAGTTCAGATGTAAGTCTATTGTCACACAGTGATACGGTTCCTACCGGTCGAAGTTTGGTACTTCAAACCTATTATTCATGTTTATAACATGTAGAGTTTACTGAAAATTATACTTTACCAGACCTGCGAAGCTTGGAAGAATAGTCACGCTTTACTCCTACCGCTTATGATTTACGACACTTTGAACTGTTGTTTTCTTTAGATTTGGCATATACGCATATGCAATATATTTGGAAATGATGCCTACCCGAACGTGTCATTCTATACACGTTACTCATAAAAGTTGTTCCTACAAATGCATAAATAGGTACTACATAACAAAATAGGTACTAAGTAACATAACATAACATCACGGCTTTTATCCCAGAAGGGGTAGGCAGAGGTGCACTTTACTGCACTTTATACCACTGCACAATGTAACACCCACTTTTCACTATTTATGTTATGAGTCCCATGTAAGGGTGAGCCTATTGCCATATACCGGGCACAATTTCAGACTCCGTGCTACTATTGAGAAAATCTCCGTAATACTTGGCCCGACTTGGAAATCGAAGCGGAGTCCCCTTGCCCGGCAGCCGCAATATGCGACCACTCGGCCAACGAGGCGGTCGTACATAGCAGCGGCAATACGGCAATACTAAATAGTAGTATCTAAAAAGGTTGATAAAGGTATTGCGAACCGAAGTAGATACAAAAACCAAACGTATTTTTCAATTTTTATTTCTTTTTGTATATACAATCATTACAAGTATACAGCCCAAGATATTTTTAATAAATTATTTATCTATCAACAAACATGTTTTTACCATCCGTAGTTGGCTCCCAAACCAGCGTAAGTGACGTGGGAAACAGCAGGTGCAGCAGAATAGGTTACAGCGGATTTCAGGACGGGAGCAGCGGCGTAAGTGGCGACTGCTGGGGCGGCGTAGGCCTTAGCTACCACGGGAGCGGCGGCGTAGGTGGTGACAGCGGGGGCGGCGTAGGTCTTAGCAACGACGGGAGCGGCAGCGTAGGCCACAGGTGCTGAGTGAGCCGAGTAAGAAGAGTAAGACACTGCTGGGGCAACAGCCTTAGCTACAACGGGAGCGGCGGCGTATGTGGTGTAAGCAGGAGTGGCGTAGGTCTTGGTGACGACGGGAGCAGCCGCGGCGTAGGTCAGAGGAGCAGAGTGGCTGGAGTATGAGGAGTAAGAGACAGCTGGCGCAATGGACTTGGCGTACACTGGAGCAGAGTAGGCCTCTACAGCGGGAGCAGCGTAGCTCTTAGTTACAACGGGGGCAGCAGCGTAGGTAGTGTAGGCGGGAGCGGCGTAGCTCTTAGCTACGACGGGAGCAGCTTCGTAGGTGGCGTAGGCGGGGGCGGCGTAGGCCTTGGCGACGACGGGAGCGGCGGCGTATGTGGCGACGGGAGCGTGCGAGGTGTGAGAGGAGAACGACACGGAGGAGACGGCGGGCGCTGAGCTGTATGCCACAGGGGCTGCAGCCTCGAGGAGGTGGCCAGCGGAGGCGAGGCTCGCCGCGCACAAGAATACTACGACCTGGAATAGAAATATTAGATTTAATAAAATGACTTTGGTATTGATGAGTGACCTATTTAAATACATAATTGGTACACATAGTCCCTTTTTGTATTAGTATTATGCCTGTAGCACAAGTACATACGGAGTACACGCGTTCCACAAAAAAAAACTAATTTTGGTTTAACTGATTCATAATTTGACACATTTCGTATTGAAAATACTTCAAATTATTCATCAGATAAACTGAATTCAATATGAAGTGATTTTTGTTATTTAAATTCTTAATTACAAGCAATATTTTAGAGTTCAAATTAATACGTTTTTACTGAATTCAGAATCAAAACAGAATCTTCAAACAACGAGGTTTAAGTAAGATGCCTGTTGTACCACTTCAAAGTTCGTTGTCACAGTCAGAATAGTCACTTGAATTTAAATGCGATAAAATAAAATCACTGCAGTACCTTGGTGTACATGTTTGTTTTGTATGAGGCTGTTGATTGTAATAATTTTTGGAGCACTTGCTTTCGCTTTTATATCGGCGTCTGCAAACTGGTATTAGCATTGAATCTCCATGAGATATTGCCTAGAGCTTATTTTGTTCCGTCAAGACAAAACCGGTCAAGCGCGGGTGTGAGTCACGCGCCGAGGGTAACGGCACAATTAGTATTTACGCAACCCCAGTAGTAGATCTGCAAGTAGTGTTAATGTCAAGTTGTCATTTTGCGGAGGCAATATTTGAGGCCTAGAAACGGATGGGCTGGTGCTTATTGCCAGTTAGAATTATACTTTACATATCTTGTCTTGTAATTAGCATGTATTAAGTAATGTTGTTATTTGTGTAAATGAGAATTTGTACGTGATTTAAAACGTGGGTAACAAAATTTAAGTTTTGTGTAGAGTTTACTTACTGTTTGAATACAATCGATAAATTAGGTAAAATGGAAGTACCAATTTGATAAGAAAATGTTATTGTTACTGATAGTGTTAGACTCTTGATGGTGAATGTTATTTGACACCATTCTAAAACTTTGAAATATGGGAAAATTTCCATACTTCCACAAATCACAAATTCCACAAATGTTCCTTTGACTATTTTCTGCTTTTGTCCGAGAGATAGGAAGAACTTGGGCTTTTCTTTATAACCCAACACTGTTTAATTTTTTGCTATAAGTATACCGAATACAATCTAGGTTTGGATGCTGTTACTGATAATCTCAACATTTGGTACTTTCCATACCTAGGAATTAAACCCAAGACACGTAATCTTCACGTTCGACAGAGCGACAACTCCACCAAGAAGGCCATCATGATCCATTCAATTTTAACGACGTGGGCGATATACATATGTAGTTGTATTATATTAGAGTTTCGTTATTAGAGTAGTTTCTTAACCATTTCTCTGAAAAAATGACAGTAATGGATTTTGTAAGTAGACTATACTGACTATACTTTTTTCTTTTTTTTTGAACAAATACGTTGCCCCACTTTAGGATTTTCTCCTGTGTCGTGGGTGTGTTGCTTATCGTCGGTTTCCTATGAGGCCGTGGTATCACTCCGGTCGAGCCGGCCCTTTCGTGCCGAAGCATGGCTCTCTCACACTTAAAAGCATTTACGGATACATCATCACATTCAGATTAGGAATATATGTAAATGTGTGGATTACCAGTGGCGTGCACAGCTTTTCGAGACAGGGTAGGCAACTAAATATCGTATGATTAAACCCCCCTCCCCCCCGCCGGTCATACAATCATGCACACACAAGACAGGTACATGTACAAATTACATTTCGAAAAGTGCGTTTAAGAATATTGTGGTTTATTCTTTCGCCAAATTACATACACTGACATCTCGCGTATTTTTTGTGAAGTACTTCATCAGCTATTGAATAAGCCAACAAAACTTACAAATAATGAAGGATCTATTATTTATTTTAATAATGAAGCATAAATTTGATGACCCAAATTTCATTATGGAATTGTTAAGTTTAATCAATCTGTTCAAAATCATAATATACATATTACGAATTTAAGAGCGTAGGTACCTACATTATGTCAACAAACAAAACAATAACAAGCGCGGCCGGCTGTGGCCGAGCCGAGTCTATGCGGTTTTTAGTTTATTACATTACATAGTTATTAATAATAAATTAATATGTAAATCAGTACAACCCGAAGTCTAAGTTGATATTTTTAAGAATTATCAAACAAGAAAATCAAATAAAAGATCCATTATATAGTACATATTTACATTACCTACCTTTTACTCGGGTCAATAGTCAATTCTCGTAACTCGAGTACACCTCTGCTTATGGTTATTACCGGAATCTAGTCCGATAAAGGACATTTTCTTTCGAAATCTTACTGTTTTTACTTTCAACAAACACATAAAATTACCTATTATCCACACAAACTTCACAATCGAATAATATAGGTAGTTGTACTAGAAACTGATAAACAAATACACTATTTGAAAAACCTACACATATATTTAACTACTACTACACATATTTACGCAACTTTATGTTTAAAACTAATTCCTAATAATTTAAAGGAAAACATAAACAAAGCGATCGCACATCACATGAAAACAATATGGCCGAAAACATTGGAAATGAATTGAAGTCAATAGTCAATTGAGTGTTTATTATAAAAAAAATGTAGCTTAAAAATTAAGGTAATGCAGCGTTTAATTAAAAAAAAACAAAGGTTAATTTAGTAAGTCAAATGAAATTGCATCATCGTCTTAAACCAATATTTCATACTAAAAAAACATTCATTCATATAATTTGAAACGTTGTAAATGGCGCCATCTTGACGTTTCAATAACTTCCTTTTAACTTTTTAATGATAAAGTCAACTCCTCGTTTAAAATTTCTATAAACCGATAACGCGTAAAAATGTTAAGCTTTAATTAAAACACTTGAAACATATTTGTTAAATACGCATTTTATAAAAATACATTCGCATTATATCGAACGAGTTCAGAAGTTTCAACAAAAAATTCAATAGATGGCGCTGGTGTACTCCATTCATCAGTACTTTACGATATACAGATTGTATCAATTTAAAACCTTTTATGATTTAATTGTTTTTAAAAATACAATAACTTGTTGCTGTTTTATTGTTTTAGAATTCTTAATAAAATACGATCGATTTCCAAGTAATGAACGAACGATCCTCTAATTTTTTAGTTGCCAAAATTTTGTCAATCAACAGGAATCGTGTAATATAATTATGAATGGTTATTCTGTCACGTGACTATGGTCGTGATCTTCACGCATGCGCGGTGCATACTTTTAGTACATTATTTTTGTGACGTCACAACTGGCAACCAAGATTTAAGAATAAGAATAGCTGCGCATGCGTGGTGCGTACGGGGCGCATTCATTGTTTTACAAAGGCGTGCGGTCCGTGTATAGTATATGTGAATGTATATTTATGTTAGCCGTTTTTTTACAAACTTTTATTATATTATTGAATCTTAATAAACGCGTTTGCACATTTTATGTATGTTATATATTCACGATATTTATAAGTCAGGCAAAGCCTATTCGCCTATATGGACTGCACGCCACTGTGGATTACTGAACTAAGTAATAGTTTGAGACTCTCTGGAGTCAGTGGAGGACTCATTAGATGATTTTCCTCTGTTAAAAAAAGTCAGTCACTCATACATCAGTTTTTTGAGAATAAAGTGGTGTTTATTGTAGTTTCTTTTAACTATATGTAGTTTGGGTATGGCCAATACTCACATTATAATATTTATTAATAAAGTTATCATTTATTAGTATTAATCTAAGTAAGCAAAAATGTCTGAGGTTAGGGAGGTAAAGTTCAGTCGGTTTATGACTTTGTAATATGCAATTTAAGAATCCAAGAAATCCAACTGCTTTAACTACTTCCGTTGCATCTGTACTTAAACATTCTATTTCAAATATCGTTTAAAACCAGTTTGCTGCAAGCATTACAAAATAATCTGATTGTAGGTAAGTATTAAATGCATTTTGATAAGTCTATATAATGTCTTGGTCTAATAATGATTAGCTTGTTACTCGGATTTTATAACATACCTAACTGACTAATAACTACTTCAATTATTAGGGAACGTACACATCTGGCGAATGTGCCGCTCGCGTGCCGTTTGCAACGCGCCCAATAGCGCGTGTGAACTCACGGCAATGGTATGGTGCTCAACTCACACAAGGTTTGTATAAAGAATACTTAATTGTAAATGCACGTGCATTCGCGAAGCATCCGCCCGATGTGGATGTACCCTTAGAGGACTTTTTACTACATTATAATTTATTTCGTTAATGTTTGTTGTAGTATAGGTCAAAAGATTTCCATATACCTAACTTTCTTATAAGAATTTAGGTAGGATATCTTAATCATAATAATTTGGGACTTAAAAGTTAAACGTAAGTAAGTACTTAAAAGATGTTTCTTGTTTATAGAATATACTTAGCTTATCTCATCGTACAAAAATATGTGGCCCTTCTGCAGTTTCCTTGTCGTTGTACTAATCATGAGGGTTTTGATTGATCATCACTGTCAGTTGCAGGCCATCGACGTAAAGGTGACGCTCGCCTCCAGCTTAATTGCTTTACTAATGTGCGAATATGTAGTTGGGGTATACATATTTCGGTAGTACCATACTATTTAGAAACATATTAATCAATCGTTTTGTCTTAGGTGTGGTGTGGCTTATAATAAACATTTATATTGTCAGGCACATAAATTGGATAATCTTTAACATTCTTCCAATTTAACTAATGAATATGGATAAATAAGTAAAATACAGAAATATTCTTTTGTTTTTATTTTTCGTTCATTGCATTACGAACATACAAACATTATTTACAGTTCATTATTGACTAACAATAAATATTAACAACTTAGTGTTTACCAACCGTAGTTGGCGCCGATTCCGGAGTAAGTGACGTGGGAGACGGCAGGTGCGGCGGAGTAAGTCACGGCGGATTTCAGGACGGGAGCAGCAGCATAAGTAGCAACTGCCGGGGCAGCGTAGGTCTTAGCTACTACGGGAGCGGCGGAGTAGTGGGCAACCGCGGGAGCGGCGGAGTAGTGGGCAACTGCGGGAGCGGCGTAGGTTTTAGTTACCACGGGAGCGGCAGCGTAGGCCACAGGTGCGGAGTGGGATGAGTGAGACGAGTAAGAAGAGTAAGACACTGCTGGGGCAATGGTTTTAGCTACGACGGGTGCGGCAGCGTAAGTGGTGACGGCGGGGGCGGCGTAAGTCTTGGTGACAACGGGAGCGGCAGCGGCGTAGGTCACTGGTGCGGCGTGGGAGATTGAGGAGTAGGACACAGCAGGTGCTACTGATTTAGCGTACACTGGGGCAGAGTATACGGCAGGGGCTGAGGCATAAGTGTGGACGACTGGAGCAGAGTGGCTGGAGATAGACTGGTGGGAGACAGCCTTCGCAACAACGGGGGCAGCAGCATAAGTGGTGACCGCGGGGGCGGCGTAGGTCTTGGCGTACGCGACGGGAGAAGAGTGGGTAGAGATGGATTGGTAAGACACTGATGGAGCGTAGCTCTTAGCTACGACAGGGGCAGCAGCGTAAGTGGCGTAGGCAGGAGCGGCGTAGCTCTTAGCTACGACGGGCTCAGCAGCGTAGCGTAGGCGGGAGCGGCGTAGGTCTTGGCGACGACGGGAGCAGCGGCATATGTGGCGACAGGAGCGTGCGAAGTGTGAGAGGAGAATGACACGGAGGAGACGGCAGGCGCTGAGCTGTATGCCACAGGGGCAGCAGCTTCGAGAAGGTGGCCAGCGGAGGCGAGGCTCGCCGCGCACAGGAAGACTACGACCTAGAATAATAACACAAATAGATGTTAATCTAATATTCGCTATTCTGCTAAAATTTCGTACACTAAAATGTATTATTAATCCATGTATTCATTACTGGCACAATTGGAATCACTTATTGTGGAAGGGCAAAAAACTTAAATACAATACAAAAATATTATCCTTAGAAAAATCTTTAAAATCAAAATATTATCACTGCAGTACCTTGGAGTACATGTTTGTATTGAGTGTTGTTGTCGAGTGTAATTTTTGGAGCACTTACTCTCGCTTTTATATCGTCGTCTGTAAACTGGTATTGGTATTGAATCCCAGGTGGATCAGCCGCGGGCACTTTCCGTTTCAATGTCAAGGTATCGAGCAAAATATAGGCAGTTGTGTAATCTGCCGGAGGCATTCGATTTCAACCAGTACCATCATATACCGTATACGTTTATAAGGAAGTTATTCTCGGAAATTGGTGTAAATAAAATTATTCAACGGCTTTTGATCTCATTAAACATTAAAAATGATTTATTTTGTGTTATATTATCAATAGGGATATCCGCCGTGGAAGGTACAAGTACAAATAAAATGCTAATTATAGGAATGAAACAACAATTGATGCAGATGGTCAGTTTTTTATTTTCATTGATATTTTCAAGTTTTTATATACATTTGCATGTTTGCTTTTTAACTCGTCGAGTACCGGTTTTATAGACACAATTAAAGAACAATAGGTTGCGGTCACCGGTGACCGCTTGGTGTTTGACAGTTTAATAATACAAATCAATTGTTGACAGACACTGGCAGTGTACAGCTTTCCATTCAAAAGTTCAGTTTTATTTTATTTACACAGATTCATTACAAATGTTGTTGGATTACCATCCAAGTTTGTTTCCGTAAAGACCGCTACCGTAACCGGCTTGGCCATAACCACCGTATCCGTATCCACCATAACCGCCATACGCACCAGCATAGCTGGGAGAATGCTCTTTGTAAACAGACACTGAGGATACAGCATCACCAAGACCATTGTACCCATGAGCGCCATAGCCGAGGTTATTGTAACCATGAGCACCATAACCCAGGCTGTTATAACCATGAGCGCCGTATCCGAGACCACTGTAACCACCAAGAGCGCCAGAGTATCCACCTTGGCCGCCGTAGTAGCCACCGTGAGCTCCGGTATCAGGGACCACTTTGGTTACTGATGTGTATGAGGTAGCGGGGCCTAAACCACCGTAACCGTAGCCGCCGCCGTAACCGCCGTAACCGCCGTATCCATAGCCGCTACCATAGCCGGCGCCGTAGCCTCCATAGCCGCCATAGCCTCCATGGCCAGAGTAGCCGCTGTTGTAAAGGGCTCCTGCATGGGCCAAGCCGAAGAGGCAGATAGCAACTGCTGCGATCTGTAATTCAATAGTAATTTAGATTATTTATGGATAGCAGGAAGTTTTAGTGGGATCCATTTTTTGGAGATTTAGTGGTGAGATTTAGTGATATCAAATAGCATTTAAAATTATTAATCATTGATACGTCATTACTAACACACCTCAAATAATAAGCGTTTGAGTTAGGTCAGTATCAAGAATAGTTTTGAATACCTATACCATTTTTATATAAATATGCGCTTTTATATTTATTTTAAAGCTTAACAATAACAATTAGCACTCAAAGTAATTAGCAATTTACTCTTATTCAATTAAGACATATAATTGAAAGAATGTAATTAAGATTTAAAGACTATATTACCTTTGTGAACATATTGCTGGTATATCTTCAACGATGATGAGTTGAATGTGTTTCAAGCTATTGTTTCACTCTTTTATATTAAAAACGTAGGAAACAAACTACTCTTTTTCAAGGTCCCATTAGATTTTGAGAAAAACGGAGCGTGACGGATTTAATTAGACTTACGTTTTAATGCAGTATTAACTAATATATTGACTGGAATCTTGCACACGATTCTCTGCTCTACCTCGATTATTATTAAGTTGAGAGTTCTGTGAACGTTCAAGATAAAATCTTTATTGTTTTATCTTAAGAATGGTTGTACAAGGGTTGGCATTAGTGTAAAAATACAAAATACGTTGTAATTATTAATTAATTACGTTTAAGAATTTGATATGCGATAATTGTTGTGTTTAATAATTTTTTCTTATATTTTGTTCATTCGATTATTCGAATACCAAAGTGATTTAAATTAAATCGGTTAATCGCATTTCGTACTTAAAATTAAAACTTCTATTGTATGCAGATGAGACATAAGTCAGTATGTCCTTGTCTTATAAAAGACAATCGTTCGACTGAGAGCACATCTGTTCGTAGGTTAACTTATAAATGGGACGTTTAGTGATAAAAGTGCACTAATGTCATAAAATAATTCTTTGTAAAGAATTGACTGTACCGTTGGCGCGGTGGCTGTGTCTCGGTTTCGATTCCCGGAATAACTCTTTGTGTGATCCACAGATTGTTGTTCCGGGCCTATGTGTCATATGTATGTGAACTAGTAAAAGTAATAAATATAAAAGCATATAAAAGCAAATGAAAGCAGCGCCATATTTGTAAAAGCAACTACGACACAGGAGAAAATGGCAATTTTTAAAAAAGATACTTTGAATGAAAAATCTGTTACAGTTAAATTAAATATTATATTTGAGTATTCATTTGTGTATATCTAAAGAGTTAAATAGATATCAAACCGTGAGACAGATCTAGTAAGCTATATCATTGTCTAAATCAAAGTGATTTAAATCTTTGTTACGTTTAAATTAAGTAAGATTGTTAGTCAATTGTGAATGCCTCGTTGGCCGAGTGGTCGCAAGTGCGACTGCCGGGCAAGGGGTCGCGGGTTTGTTTCCCGGGTCGGGCAAAGTATAACTGGGTTTTAAAAAGAAATCTCAGTAGTAGCACGGAGCCTTGTACATGGCAATAGGCTCACCCCCTATTACACGAGACTTATAACATAAATAGTGAAAAGTGGGTGTTACATTGTACCGTGGCATTAAGTGCCGTAATGTGCACCTCTGCCTACCCCTTCAGGGATAAAAATTATTTTACTCTCAAAAACTATAAAATAATTTTACTCTCTATTACATGAGACTCATACCCCATTAATGTAGCCGGTAACGTGAATAGTGGGTATTTAATTCTATACTATTTTTACCGTCTCTACCTACCGGCCTAGGGCTGAAAGGCGTGAAGTTATGTGTGTATGAAGTTCCCACGTTCGATTGTAAACTAACACGATGCGTTAGTTAGTACAAATCAATTTGTTTAACATTTTAAAATTTGGAAGGGTGCGTGATGCAGTATTGATTGACTTTTGTCGGCATACTCAAACGCTAGTCAATTTTAAGTCGTGCTTAAGTATAGTTCTGTCTCTACAAATTCTTTGTAAAATGACAGAGATGGCACGATATTTAAGTACGAATTAAAATTGAGTAACGTTTCAGTATTCCGGCATTTATCAGATAATCTGAGTCAAGCGACTGTCTGAGGCAAATGATTGAATATGCAAAAACATGGAAGTAATTAAACAACGTCTTTGTTAAATATTTGCCATAACTTCTGCTAAAATAGTTAATTATACATTCTAGTTGGGAATTCAATTCAAAATATTTATTAGTTTTATCTGATATACCAGGATCAGTAATCCACTTAGTCAGCGTCGATCTCTAGACAAATTACTATAGATATTAAACCAATGTTAATCTGTATTTTTATGTATCTCTATTATGTTTCTCATAATTATGGAAATTTAATTTTAAATACAACATGTTTCCTTATTAAAATATCTTATGAGTATTTTTTTGTCTCACTCGTATTACATGGGACTCAAAACATAAATAGTGATAAGAGGGTGTTACATTGTAAAGTCGCATTAAGTGCAGTAATATGCACCTCTGCCTGTCCCTTCAGGGATAAACGATGTTATGTAATTTTTGTGTAAACGTATCTATGTTTTGTTTTTGACAGGTAAATTGGGTGACAGAGATTTTGATGATATCATCCAAATCGATATAGCCGATTAGTTATCATGATATTAAAGAATATTATAGAGATACTTAAGTGCAGATTAACGAATAAATACGTGGTATAATATAACATAACATAACATCACGTCTTTTATCCCCGAAGGGGTAGGCAGAGGTGAACATTATGCCCTTGTACAATATAACACCCACTTTTCACTATTTATGTTGTGAGTTCCATGTAATAGGGGTTGAGCCTATTGCCATATACCGAGCACAATTCCAGACTCCGTGCTACTACTGAGAATTTTTTAAAAACCCAATATTAGAGGTACTTTGCCCGACCCGGGAATCGAACCCGAGACCCCTAGCCCGGCAGTCACATTTGCGACCATTCGGCCAATGAGGCAGTGGTATAATATCTATAATAATTTAAAGTACGTAAATGTCTACACAAGACATTGCATTAAGTAAAATGTCATAAATAAATAATACAAACCAGTAATTGTCTTAGGTTAGATAGTATAGTAGGAATCATCAACGAAATCTTAAAAAGATTAAAAGTAAACAAGTTTTTAAGTTTTTCAATTTCCAAATTAATGGGGTAATGGCATAAGGCAATTGACAAAAATAGCCCGACGATACCTACACCACGATTACCTGTAGGTACATCTTTGTTTGTAGGTGTTGTGACAGAATGCTTTGAGATAAGGGTTTGTTCTCAACAGTAAAACTGTATCAAAAAATTAAACAAAATTTGACTTATACAGGTACAAGTTTATTAAATAACCAGGTACATAGAACAGTAATTTACATTTGCTATAAATTAAAACAGTCATACGATACACAGAAAAAATAAAATATTTACAATTTCATTCCAATATGGTATGCATTGTACAAACAAATTCTTTGCAACAGCTTACCAGAGGTATTTAGAGCCGTGACCGTAGCCGGAACCGTAGCTGGAACCGTATGCGTAACCAGATCCGTAGCCATGGCCCGAGCTGTAGCCGTGGCTACCGTAGCCAAGACCGCTGTAGTCATGACCTCCGTAACCATGGCCGTACGACACGGTGTAAGGCACATATGACGCATAAGAAACTGGGGCTACATAAGACTTTACAATAGGTGATGAATGTACTTGGTAGCGAGAGACTGTAGAGATCGCTGGGGCATATGATACTGCAGGAACGACTGCCTTAATAACAGGAGCTGCTACTATAGCTTTAGCTACCACTGGAGCAGTGTACGCAGGGGCCACGTAGCTAGCGTAGCCACCGTAGCCGTGGCCTGATCCGTAACCGATGTCTGAGCCGTAACCTAAACCTGATGCGTAGCCCAGGCCACTTCCATGCCAGCCGCTGGCGCGGGCCAGGCCAAATAGGCAGAGGACGGCAACGAACTGTAACAAATAAATAATTAGATTAGTATACCTCTATATTGTAAGCTTTTGTCGTTGTTAAATTAGTTAAATTGTAAAGAATGAAAGACTGCAAAGAATGTACACTAAAATTGCAACTTGCACTGAAGTGCAAAATATGCACACTATGAAATAAAATCAACGGTAAGTACGTGAGTTCGTTTTGAAAGAGTATCGAAGGACCACAAAGCTTAAGGATACTTATGCAAATAAAGTAAACAATATCTATTGTTGCCCTGATATGTTATCTCAATAGTAACAATAACAAGCGAATTTCGAAATTTCGAATTCTTTCGAAAAGAGTATGATCAAAAAATTACTATGAATCCAAAAAGTATTTATCTTTCTGCGTCCTAAAGCATTACAATATCCAAATAGACCTATTTCTCACAACTATGACTTAACATCTTGATAACAGAATAGCGTGATGACACGACATTTAGGCTACTTTAAAAGTAGGGCCATATCTTAGCCCGTCTGCCGTCACCGGTCGTTAGGGAACTTTCGAGGCCGAAACCTTGACAATTGCGAAACCCGACGCATACAGGTGACAGTAACAAGACAATCCTACGTATATACTTGCATTAATAACATAGCAATCATCTCTGTAATGTCTGCTTGAAATTATACTCTTTATAGGATGGAGGAAGAGTGTTAAGTGTTTTATTTAAAGATGTTGTTGTGGACTGCCTCGTTGGCCGAGTGGTAGCAAGTGCAACTGCCGGGCAAGGGGTCTCGGGTTCGATTCCCGGGTCTATTGAAATAGAATATTTACATTTTTGTCATGAAATAGAATATTATTTCATAACAAAAATGCAAATATTGACTGACCTAGGATACTCTTTTAGTTTTACTTAAAAGTTAATTTTACAGTAAAACAACAACAATTCAGACATCAATATTCACATACCAATATCATAATACTATTTAAATCCACGAAAATTAATTTATTTGATAATAAAGCTTGAGCAATAATGCAGTGGATTTAAATAATAAACAGCTGTGACAGATTGGTTTCGACTACAAGGACTCGTACTGTTACGCAAACTACCTAGTGTTTGACACGTGTAAGCTTAAATCTAGATAAATGGTTTAGCTAGACTTGATTCGTGAGAAACCTAGTCTATATTCTATAGGTCGTTACGTCATAATTTCTAATTGCAAGCGAAATTGAGCAGTTATAACATTATTTATAATGTAATTATTAACTCAAGTCGTTTATTTGATTTCTCTATTATACTTTTCACTCCCTTTGTTTCCTTTTATATTCTGTATGACAAGTATTAAAACCTTACACTGTAAAGAAATGTGTATAATTTAGGCTACTATGGTTTATATTTCATATAACAAAGTTTATAGACCGTCCAAAGGACATCGCTAATTAAAAAATGACCATTTGCGAAACCGAACATGGTCTGCTCGTTGGCCGAGTGATCTATGATGTTTTTACGAGCAAAGAGCTTTAAAAATGTTTACACAAAACTCATAGCCCGTCCAAAGGTAATCGCTAATTAAAAAAGGACCATTTATGAAACAGAACATGGTCTGTCTCGTTGGGCGAGTGATTGCAAGTGCGACACCCGGGCAATGGTCTCGGGTTCGATTCCCCGGTAAGGCAAGGATATACTGAGTTTTAAAAAAAATCTTAGTAGTAGCACGCAGTCTGGAATTGTGCCCTGTATATGGTAATAGGCTGACCCCCTATTAAATGGGACTCATAATATACCTAAATAGTGAAAAGTGGGTGTTACATTGTACAGTGGCATTAAGTGCCGTAATGTAATAATAACCTCTGCATCTTCGGGGTAAAAAAGTAGTGATATTATGCTATATGTTGTAGAACACGATCTGTTTGTCACATCAAAATTTGCAAGCATACTAAGTCGAAGACCAACATATGTATATGTAGTTGATCATATTTTAGCCGTAAATGATTTACGATGATATTGATTGCTTATGTGACAGATATTATGAAAGCTTTAGCTGATGGTTAAGATTTAAAACCTGTACTGACTGACTGATCTGTTAAAGGCCACCTTTACTAAGAACTAGGTTAGGTAAGACCGAATGATAGTTAATACTCTGGTTCAAATTTTGAAACTTGACGAAACTGACGAAGATTCGTATGTACAGTTAGGACAGTTATTTATTATCATAAAATATCATTCAGCGATCAACAGCCTATAAATCCCCATTGGCGAGAGCCATAGCCTCTTCTCACACGGACAAGGTTTGAGCATTAACACCACTCATGCTCAATGTTCGCGATTTCAAATTTATAATTAGAAATTATGAACCCAGGTTTCCTCACGATGTTTTCCTTCACCATTTTGTCAGCGGTGTCTAAATGATATTAGAAAGTACATATAACTCGGAAAAAGTCACACTTGTACTGGCCGTTGGTAGGTTTTAACCCGCACTCTCATCCATAAGAAGCAAGTCTTAACCCATACATCCCCAAGTGGTCACCGGTGACCGCTCTCCACTAACTACATTATAGACCTTATTTCCAATGTTTAGAGACTACTTTTGTATGAACAAATTTAGGGGATGAATTTCACCGGGTCTCCGGGCCACCACGACCTGTATTTTGGTTTGCATGTAACAAAATAAAGATTGACTTAGATAATTCTGAGTCAATCTTTATTTTGTTATAGAGACATTAGCTAGTGCTACATTGAAGTGTGTGGTTTTTAACATAACATAACATCACGCCTTTTATCCCCGAAGAGGTAGGCAGAGGTGCACATTACGGCACTTAATGCCACGGTACAATGTAACACCCACTTTTCACTATTTATGTTACGAGTCCCATGTAACAGGGGGTGAGCTTATTGTCATATACCGGGCACATTTCCAGACTCCGTGCTACTACTGAGGTTTTTATAAACCCAGTAATACTTTGCCCGACCCGGGAATCGAACCCGAGACCCCTTGCAGTTGCACTTGCGACCACTCGGCCAATGAGGCAGTCGGTATATGGTTTTAACTTTTTATCGGCTCAGTAGGCAACCAACGGTTATTATCTCTCCATTCAATATTTTTTTATTTTCGTACATGCATACTAAATAACTGGTTTAACTATACGTAAAAAAACTATGTAGCGAATAAAAAACATTTTCCAAAAACAAAAACATAATATTTAAATGGGATTTGCTCAGCAAAAAACATATTTCAACTTTTTATACTTGAGTTTACTTGAAAGTGCAAATATTATGATCAAAGTGGCTCATTGCATTTAATAATAAAATTAAAACATTATACAAACCTCTTTGTTTTTTAAACTGCCGCTAATTCTTAATTATAATTACTTTAACGGGATGTCAAAACATTAAAAGATGGTTAATTGCAATTAAAAAGTAAACAGCGGCACTTTATGTATTAAAACTTATAATTGTTTTAAAGTGACAATAACATTTATAATATGAATGTTTCGTTGGTTGAATGGTTTTGATAACATTGATTATACAGCAGAAAATTTTGATTTTTAGGGTTCGAATTTCGGGTGAGACTAAATTTAATTTTGATTTAAAAATTCTTTGTAAATATTCAGGTCTTACATTATTTTCCGACACGTTTAGGTTGTCATAGTCAGCAAAAATAATTAAGGATAAAAGATAATTTAAATTTCTTGAGGTTGGTAGGTACCTATACAGATAAATTCGGTCTTTAGATATTCGCTAACTACAAAACTATATTACAGTTTTGAATTTAAATAAAATCTGATATAATCTGATTATAGTGACACGGTAAGTCTATGAAAATACATGACTTGTATGGTTGTTTGGATGAGCACGTAAATCTAGCTCAACGCTAACTAGAGATAGCAAAGTAAATATTTATGAAGTTTAAACTAAATTTTTTACGAAATTATTTGCCGTTTACAGGCTATAAAGTCAGGAAATCTATAAAAAACCAGTTTTCAGGCACAAAAGTAATTTTCGGATGCCTAAAGAAAAAATACATTTTGGCACAGTTCCAAAAGTGTGCTAACGTCACCATTTCACTAATCTAGACGACCATAACTTAGACACAAAAATAGGAAGTGTTATTTTAACAGTCTAGACTCCCAGTGCCTTTACGAGTATTTACGAGTAATTAAAAAAATTGCCTGCCTAAGCGTTAGTCGCAAATTAATTATGCAGTCAACATAAGACAAAAAGTACTATCAATAGTAATGTCTTAATTAAATAACAACTTTTCCAAGTGGTACGACCATATCAGTGTATTCTTTTATTGGTCTTTTACTGGTCCTTCTGGATTATATCTAGTCATCATCATCATCAACAGCTTATAAATGCCCACTGCTGAGCAAAGCCTCTTCTCACACGGAGAAGGTTAGAGCATTTATCACCACGCTTGCTCAATGCGGGTTGGCGATTTCAAACTTATAATTAGAAATTATAAGTCCAGGTTTCCTCACGATGTTTTTCCTTCACCGTTTGTCAGTGGTGTCTAAATAATCTTAGAAAGTACATATAACTCGGAAAAAGTCACATTGGTACTTGCCGTTGGTAGGTTTCGAACCCGCACCCTCATGCATGAGAAGTCGGCGTCTTAAACCTCCGGGCCACCACGACTTCCTCCGGATCCGATCCACGGATTCCTCCGGACGGATTATATCTAGTCCACAACGAATTTTACGTCACGATACTGTCAGTTAGGTTCAACCAATCCTGTCAGTTTGGAAGCGTTAGGTCGAAAATTCCAGTTGTCGGCTATACGCCAAATTCTAACGCGTTCAAAAGTTTTTGAGCGACGGCGAAAAATGTCAGCACTATGACTGCCCTATGAAACTATTTTTCGCGCTATTTTCCGGAATGAATGAGTTATTATGTAATTTTTAATCTAAGCTAACTAAATAGCAAAGAGGTACAAGTATTAAAGTTATATATAGGCACTTGAACTGGTTTAGTCGATGTCCGTCCAGATTAGCTATAAAAATCTCGCTCAAAAATGTCGTTTTATCCGGAATTGCATTCAGATCAGGAAAGAAAGAAGATAGTCTTCCGAAAATAAAACAATGAATCACTATTGGCACCACTAAAACTTGCACACTGCACTTTTAACGCAACACTATTTAATATTCGCATATTTGTTTATATCCTTGAAAAGATGCATTTAAGAGACGTTTATTTAATCACTAATCTTACCTTAGCGATCATTTTGTTGTGGTTTCGTGGAATATAATGCGTTGAATGTTAGGCAAACGAAAAATGTCAGCTTATATATTATACGAAATCTCAGGAAACACAGTGGCCTCGCTATTGTCAAGTTTCTAGGTAATTTTAGTAAAATGGCGCATAATCGTATTACAAATGGTGTGCATAAGGTCTCTTTTAATATTTTTATAATTTTTATAACATTAAAATAATAAAATGTAAACTGAAGGTGAACTAATTTAGTCTATAGTTAAATGTTTAATGATACAGGAAGTAAGAATGTGCATTTTATTTCTGTTGCAATGGTGTCGGCTCACGTTTTTTTTGTTTATTTCGGAGTTCATTCAACGCTAAGCCTCCACAGTTCTCGCGTGTCGAAAATGTTCTTTATTTTTTCTGTTATTATTATTTTTCATCCACAATAAAAAAGTACAAATAAATTATGAAAGGAGAGGTTATTGATTGAATTGTTTAGTGGTCCTTTGATCCCTTATTATAACATCAATGATGATTAGTATAGTTGTCGATTTTACAATACTATTTACTTTACGCTGTACTTAGCTGATGTTTACCTGTGTTTGCTTTCTGCGAATGCTTGATTTTATTTTATTGTGTACTTTCTTAGGTAACTACCTAACATGTGTGATATTTTGTGATATATGTGTAGTGGACGATATCATAATTATTTTGTAGATTAATTATTATTTATTTCTAGACAAATTATATATTTAGACTATTTCGTATTTTACTTATTCTGTATCCTATCGATGAATCTAAATGATATTTTGATAAATTGTGATTTATTTCAAGGTCGACCATTATATCATTGATTAAATATATTATATTGTCATTTGAAACGTATCTAATTAAGATATCATCAGTGTATTAAATATGCAGATTGTCATAATATTTTAAGATTTGATGGAATTTTACCTGCACATGTTTTGATTGACCTATTATTATATCAGGGTGCATAGATAAATGTCAATTGCTATTTATAAAGATCTTCTATATCTATAAATAAAGTCATCACTAGTGTTGAATTCCATTATTTAACCCATGTAGCATTGAATTGCTAATATTAGGTGTTATCGGTCATTCATTATTTTATAAGTTTTGTAGTGACAAGGATTGAAAAGGTAATGTTACGCTGGTTTGGACATGTAGAAAGGATGGATGAAAGGATGAAAGGATGAAAGATAGAGTAACGAAAGAAGTATACAGAGCAGATATGAATGGGGCCGTCGGTAGAGGGCGCCCTAGACGGACGTAGAGTGACCAGATTAGCGATATATTAAAGAAGGGCTAAATTAAAAGTACCCTTAACCGACGAGCATGCATAAAAAGATTGATGGCTTTTGATGAAGCGAAAGAGGTATGTAAGAATCGTAGCAATTGGCGTTCCCTAGTCTCTGCCTACCCCCATGGGAGCCAGGCGTGAAGTTATGTATGTATTTTTTTTTAAACTTTGGTCCACACTAGGATTTTCTCCTGTGTCGTAGGTGCGCGTACAAACATACAAGTTCACATACACAATGACACCCAGACCCGAAACAACAATTTGTGGATCACACATGTATGTATGTATTTGTTGGTCATTCATTATTTTATAAGTTTATTTTCAGACTTCTAATTTACTTGTCAAGCTGGATAAGATATTAGTAGAATAAAGTGTGAGCTAATGGCTAAAGTAATATCTGTTCCGCTTCTGAGATACGTTTCCTTTTATCACCAGAGGATGTCAATCCATTAAGGAAGGAACGAGGTGGTAGATGCGAGGTAAGGATTAGTCCAGTGCGGACCTTTGCAATCACTTGGTCCGCTGCTTAGGTAAAGTATTTTTTTGTTGGATTTACCAACGTTTTTATGTAAAAGCTTCTGTTAGTGGTTTCGTTCGTGTTCCCGTACAATAAGTGACCTATATATTATTCGACAAACTACCACTGTTCCAAATTTTATCTCAATCTCTTCAGCCATTTTGACGTAAAAGAGTAACAAACACACACACACATACGTCAAAAACTTTCGCATATAATTATAATATTAGCAGGATAAACATTGTATTGCCCTTACTTAGGAACAGATTTTTTCAGTAAAAATCAATACAAATAAGTAAATGGGCTAAAAATCTATTACTAAGTACTTTAATTTGCTATCAAAAAGGTAGTATATCCTAAGGTCAAAAGTTGCAAAGAGGTCGCTGACCCATAGGCTAGCAGGCAACTCGATAACGAGTCACGAGCAAAAACTAGGTACACACGACTACACATAGAGTTAACGTAAACCACTTTATCAAGGTCTCACTATGTATGATGTTTCCGCACATTGGACGGTCAGCTTATACTGGTTTTTCTTAGCTTGATGTGTATGTATGTACTTACATACGTATGCGTAATATCTACATACATTTTGTAATATGTTTATCAACTTGCATACTATGATGCCCTGCGGCGTTTCGTTTCTAAATAAATATTTTTAGCAATATGACTAATGATCTAAAACTTATATTAGGTGCTAGTATCTATTATTAGTGACATGGGTTGTGTGACTGGTTTTATTTTTTTGATTATTGTCTTTGATATAATGTTTTGATTATGTGAGTTGATTGACATTAATTATAGTACTAGTGTATTTGAGTTGATTTTGCTAAATCGTGATCAGATTTACTAATTTTCATTTGGTCCTTCGTGGTCCTTTGTCAAGTTTATTTCGGTTAATCACGATTTCGATCGTAAAAAGTCAAGCCATACAAAATTGTAAGCAGCCTCTACTAAAGTCTAGTAAAAATATTTACTAGATAAAGAGTGATATTTTAAAGTAATTAATATTTGCTAATCTACATAAAGGTTACTTGTTGAATTTATTGTGTTTAGGATAGTTACCCTGTAAAGCTCGTTATAAAATCGTAAGACTTTGCATTTAATCAAAGTTTTTTTATAAACTATTTAGAGTTTCGATCAAAATTTAACTTCAATTTTAATGGTGCGATTTCTTGAGCATAATGCACGAGGATTTTTTTAACGCATGAGGTTTTTTAAAATTAGTCATCTAAGTAATAAATATTTTGCAAAAACAACTCTAATCTCTCAGAATTATAATATATTGTACGCCACATTTCGAAATAGAACTGTCACAATACTACTATGGTACCTAAGCAGTTACAACACCGCGGACAGAAGGACCAGATTTCATTATACTACAATAAGGATAACAAGTTTGTCCGTTGACATGCAACATGTGTTGTCACAATAAAATAGACCTTTTTGTGACAGAACTTCCATCTACATAGTACTAGTTCTTGTCTAAATAATTTCTCAACACGCCTGCGAGTGTCAGCCTAAGTAATATGTTTGTTGGGACATTACAGGCATAATGACATGCTTGTTTCCCGCAAAATGATAGACAAGAGTATTTATTTAAGTATTTAGGCTAGTTTTTGTCAGTAACATTTACATTTAAATTTTACGAATTATGGTAGACATTTTGACACAATTTCAAGACGGATGATTGTGGTAACACCAGCAGAGAGATAATGGAAAGGGCCAAGTGCAGATAACACAAGGAAATTCTCTTAAACAATGTATTTTTGTAACTTGTTATGCATACTATAAATGTGTTAGAAGCTGAAGAAGAGGAACTAAATGGAACAACGGCGTGGGTTATGTGAATTCTAGGTACCTTTGTGAGCATTACATGATGATAACAGTTTATTAAAGAAAGAACAAGTAATAAGATCAACAAACAAACAAACAGATACACAAACAAAACTTCAGTATATTATGGAAATAAAATAACTAGATACAGAACTTGGGACACTAATCATAATGATATATAACTGTAATATCTAGGTTCTCAAACAACTTCCCTACCGCTTACTGGCTATGAAAGTAAATAAATAAAGTGTTCCTATGTACGAATTTATACGTAACAAACCGAAAAAATACTCATATGTTTTGGCACTGTACCAAGTTTTTTTCTAGATGAATTGTATGATCGTTAAATAGGTCTGTGGCGATATCTCTGGTATATAAAAATATATTTTATTGTGGAACTTTTGCAATAAGTTTTATATTCATTGTATGTCTAATGTAGTTATCATTGGTGTCACTTTGATAGGCCTAAAAGCTATGAATTAATTAAGTTGGTTTAAGAAGTAATTATTATTGGATTTTATGGTTTTACCTACTAGATATTTATCAATAGCAGTAAGATATAAAAATGGAATATAAACCGTGACATTTTTAAAAGATTTTTCGACAAGTAATACGGTCGTCTTAAATATCCACTTACAAATGTGACATACGTAATAAGTACTCGTTCATCATAAAATTGTCGCCCAATTGACACAGTATCCAAAAAATGTGACCAGAAGCCATTTTATTTCTGAATGAACGTTGCGCGAGCGCTGGCCGCAGGCGTGTGCGAATTATTTGTGCAATAAACCATATTTATGTGAGAATTACTCGTTTATAAGGTTATTGACATATTTTTTATTCGAATTTTTTATTGGTTATTGTCAATTCAAACCGATAATCGATTTAAGCCTTGTATGTCTTGAGCTTTGTTATTTAATCTTGTATGACATGATCAGGAATTACGGAATCTAAACTAAGGCCCAATTACAATCCCTGAATCTTCAATAATCAAATTCCTAATCCCCAAAATGCCGGTATCGCACTTGCAACGGCTCTGGTGTTCCAGGTGTCCATGGGCGACGCCGATTGCTCACCATCAGGTGATCTGTCTGCTCGGTTACCGGTTTATCCCGTAACGAAAAACTCGCCATTTAATTATGTTATACACAAGTAATCTAATTATGTTTACCACATTCTGTACAGTGATGTTACGAAATGTAGTTCTATTAAGTTCGCTATTTGAGATGTGATATGCAAAATGAAATTGACTGCTTGTTACTAGAATCCTATTTGTCTACCTAACACTATTTTACTGATTCTTAGACCAACATGGAAAATGAACATTTAATGTAATCTTTGAATAATCTG